AAAAAAAAAGTTCAAGTTATATGATATTTTAACTTAATAAATGTCAATTAAGCTCAAGTCCAATTTTTTTTTTTTTTTATATATCAATTTTAAAATATCTAAACGTAAAAAGAATTAATTTTCCTGTAGAAAACATTGTTCAGAAATTGAGGCAATAATATCAATTAAAATAAGTTATATTAGATCAATAGAAGGATGTTCTATAATGAAGACAATCGCAGTATCTTAACTTAACTTAACAAGAATTAATTTGCCTCTAGAAAACATTGTTCAGAAATCCAGGCAATAATATCAATTATTCTAATAATGTCCCGTCCACAATCTCCGTTGTTGTATTCTAGACGTATTAGAGAGTGCGACGCAATATCCACAACGGAGATTGTGTGCGTGGCATTATTGGCGTAATTGATGTTATTAGTCAATTTTTGGAATTTCTTGAGTTGTAAGTAAATTAACAAAAAGTACTTGGACTTTTTGACACACCACTAATACGTAGACACCTTAACCCTTCAGTTAAAATATCAATTAAAATAAGTTAAATTACATCAGTAGAAGGATGTTCTATAACGGAGACAATCGCAGTTGGCGTCGTTTACAGGGTTCTTACATGCTCAACAGTCTTCCAACATAGCAAGAAAGCTGCAGTCTTTTTCACACACCACTAAAAATAATTTGATACAATAATCCAATAGTTTTAGTGTGTGTGGAAAAGACTGTAGTTTTCTTGCTGTGTTGGATGATTGTTGAACATTTAAGAACCCCGTAACCGATGCCAACGGCAATTGTTTCCGTTATAAAACATCTTTCACAAATTTAAACAATAACATCAATTACATCGAGTATGCCACGTCCACATTCTCCCATTGTGGATCCTGCTTCTCACTCTCGCATACGTCTACAATATAGCAGTTAGAGTTCTACGACACAGGCCGACATACAAATTCTTCAATAATTGAAGTTTGTTGAAGTTTGTTTGTGTATACTATCTCTATATTGTTGTATTGTAGGCGTATGAGAGAGTCAGAAACAACATCCACAATGAGAGAATGTGTGCGTGGCATAAACGGTTTAATTGATGTTATTGCTTTCAACTCTAATTGATAAACTTTTCGAAATTCTTAGAACTGAAATCCACAATGAATCACGACCTTAAAAAACGAATGCCTAATATTGAAACTTAAAAGAACTACGTGGACTTTGATTCTCAATATAAGGGGTACGTAGGCACCTTAACTGACACAAATATAAGGGGACTTTGATTCGCAATTGTTTCCGTTATAAAACATCTTTCTCAAATACATATGTTAATTCAACAGTATCTTGAGTTTCATCAACGTCATCATGCAATCCGACTTCAATACACAATCTGGAGTAATATATCCGTTCTTTTTGTTAGTATCCTCAAGCATGTTACTTAATAGATGTTGTCCAAGTTATCGTCTTTGCTGTGCAAGATGTTGATACTGTTATCCCACAGTCCCATACGGGTACATACCTTTTCATGCATAACTGGTACCGTTGGATAATGATATAAAACTAATGTCAAATGTTGATGACTCAACTGCAAGTTTACCATAACATTATTTTACATCTCTTTTCTCGATATTGAGTACGTATTCAAAAGATAACTAAGTCTGTATAAGCGTTCTGTTGTTTGTGTTATAGCAGGCGTAATCTAGCGTTGACAGCATAATATGTAATGGAGAATATTGACCTGATATCATTGTCTTAAATGAAGTTAATGTTTTGAGTTCATCTTCTAAAGTTCAAATATTAACTCAAAAACATTAACAACAAAAGGGAATTGTGATGTGACGTCAATATTTATTATTATGTATTATTATATTATGCTTTCAATTCTAAATTTCGCCTGCTATGGCACAAACAACAGAACGTTTATACATATTTAGTTATCTTTTGAATTCTTAGTTAACGTCGAGCAGAGGAACGCAAAATAATGTAATGGTAAAGTTG